ATCTCCAGTTAAAAAGGACCAGGCAGGAGGTGGCTTAGTGGAAGAACCTCTGCTTGGCAGGCAGAAGGTCCCAGGTTCAATCCCCAGCATCTCCAGTTAAAAAGGACCAGGCAGCAGGTAATGTGAAAGGCCTCCGTCTGAGACCCTGGAGAGCTGTAAAGAGGGGCTGTGGCTTAGTGGAAGAACCTCTGCTTGGCAGGCAGAAGGTCCCAGGTTCAATCCCCAGCATCTCCAGTTAAAAAGGACCAGGCAGGAGGTGGCTTAGTGGAAGAACCTCTGCTTGGCAGGCAGAAGGTCCCAGGTTCAATCCCCAGCATCTCCAGTTAAAAAGGACCAGGCAGGAGGTGATGTGAAAGACCTCCGCCTGAGACCCTGGAGAGCTATAAACAGGGGCTGTGGCTTAGTGGAAGAACCTCTGCTTGGCAGGCAGAAGGTCCCAGGTTCAATCCCCAGCATCTCCAGTTAAAAAGGACCAGGCAGGAGGTGATGTGAAAGACCTCAGCCTGAGACCCTGGAGAGCTGTAAAGAGGGGCCGTGGCTCAGTGGTAGAGCCTCTGCTTGGCAGGCAGAAGGCCACAGGTTCAATCCCCAGCATCTACAGTTGAAATGGACCAGGCAGGAGGTGATGGGAAAGACCTCCGCCTGAGACCCTGGAGAGCTGTAAAGAGGGGCTGTGGCTCAGTGGAAGAGCCTCTGCTTGGCAGGCAGAAGGTCCCAGGTTCAATCCCCGGCATCTCCAGTTAAAAAGGACCAGGCAGCAGGTGATGTGAAAGACCTCGGCCTGAGACCCTGGAGAGCCGCTGCCAGTCTGAGTAGACAAGACTGACTTTGATGGACCGAGGGTCTGATGCAGGCTGGGGCAGCATCACGTTTTCAATGGGGCCTTCCCCCCTCCCTTTCTCTCGTTCATAGGGACGCCTGTGAACCGGATTCCCATCATGGCCAAGCAAGTGCTGGACTTGTACACCCTCTACCGGCTGGTGACGGAGAAAGGGGGTCTGGTGGAAGTCATCAACAAGAAGATCTGGCGGGAGATCACCAAGGGCCTCAACCTGCCCACCTCCATCACCAGCGCCGCCTTCACCCTCCGCACGCAGTGAGTGGCCTGGGGGGGGGGCTCTGGGTTTGACAGGGGACAGGCCTGCCGCCACTCACACCCGTGGCACATCTCTCAAGTAGGGTGCTGGCGTCATCTGAGTGTTCCTTAGGTCCACCTGGACTCCCCCGTAGCCTTAAAAGCCGGGCATAATCAATCTGCAACCTGCCAGGGCAGAGCCTAGGGTTGCCAGCTCCAGGTTGGGAAATACCTGGAGGTTTGGGTGTGGAGCCAGGGGAGGGCGGGGCTTGGGAAGGGGAGGGACCTCTGTGGAGCATAATGCCATGCAACAAAGTTTGAGTCCAGTGGCATCTTTAAAACCAACAAGATTTAATTCTGGGTATAAGCTTCCATCTGCTTTGTTCTATTGCTTCTTTGTTCTATTAAGTGGTTGGGAGTGCAGGTTCTAATCTGGGAGAGCCGGGTTTGATTCCCCACTCCTTCTCCACGTGCAGCCAGCTGGGTGACCTTGGGTCAGTCCCAAGTTCTCTCGGAGCTGTTCTCTCAAGAGCAGTCCTCGAAAGAGCTCTCTCAGACCCACCTACCGTGTTTCCCCGAAAATAAGACACTGTCTTATATTTATTTTTTCTCAAGAAGACATACTAGGGCTTATACCACAAATGCATAGAAATCCTGCTAGGGCTTATTTTTGGGGTAGGTCTTATTTTTGGG